TACTCTTACATCTATTTCGTAAAGACTATCATCTATTCAACGTCTATGACTGCTGGATACGCGCATGCTCCGGCTGTCGTCGGCGCTTGGGGCTGTGCCGGCGAAACCTCCGCTTCGCAGGCGTATCACCGACAGCCGCATTTGAAGATTCCCATCCACTCTGTGGTTTTATCGACTCTCATCCAACACTCTGGTTTTATCTCCTCTTGTAAATCGACTTTGTGTTCTCCAAGAGTTTGTCTTCTCGTTTCTTCTCTGCTTTGATCGTCAGTTAATTGATGCCTCGCTTCCGGTACCAGGTGTGCCGACACCCTCTCCCCCCTTCGGAACAGAAGGTACTTCGCCGTCCCGTTCATTCTTCTTCGTCTTTCCTTCTTTGCTTCTCCTTCTTCCCTCCTTGCACCTATCCTCCCCAAACAGAGCCAACGTTAGGTCCTCCATGTTGCATCCACATTGGTCCGCCGCTTATATGGCTGCAGAAAGCTCCTCCACTCTTGGAGCAGTCGACAAACAACCCGCAACAAACTTCACAGGGAGGAGGCCCCCTTCAAGAATTCGCCCCTGAACGCTCTCATCCATCACACGCCGTCGATCCGATGACGACCCCATCACTACCAGACTCTGCGGTATCCCCAACCGCTAGCCACTGTGGCGTCTATTCTCTATCATCAGTCGGGTGGGCGGGCTCTCGTCCGCCCCTTCTGTCTCTCTAATAAACAATATCAGGCTGCCCTTGCCTCCTCCAAGGCGCCCTGTATTCGCTCATCAGTTGGATGGGCGGGCTCTCTTCCGCCCCCTCTGTCTCTATAATAAACCCAATATCAGGCTGCCCCTTGCCCCCTGCAAGGCGCCCTATATTCGCTCATCAGTCGGATGCCATAGGGGCCTTAGGCCTATTAAGGAGTGATACGTAGCCACGGCAAACGGCCCGTGTGCGTTACAACAACCCCGATTCCAAGTCGGCTCCACCCCCAGCAGTGCGACCACAGGGAGACAAAACTCCCCAATCACCCCAAAACAGAGAGTCAATTACTGGTGTAAATAGCCGAATGTAATCTAAGAGCTTGTGAATGCTGCTTCTCTTGCTTGCAGACAGTCATGACGTTGGGCTCGTGTTGTTGCGGTCCAGTGGCTTTGAGTGCAGTCACTAAGTGTTGAATGCTACCTGCTTGAGCGACAAAACTACCTCCCATAAAATTTGAAAAATACTCTTATTCTAGAGGTAATATATTTAAGGGAATAACGTGGCTTTAGTGAAGTTCTTTATGGGTACAGAGCACCATCCAGCCCCTGCGCAGCATCCCGCTGTAGCCGTCTGCTAAGGATAGCATTGCTTGCAGTTTAATGCTCGCGGAGGTAAAAATGAAATCCCAAATAACTAGCTGGGAGCCTACGAACAAGCCTGCGGAAGGGGGAATATGCAGAATATCCCAGGCTACGGCAAAGTTGATTTGCAAACATTGTAGCGAGTGTCATCGGCTTAAACCGACGACCCCTTTGAACTGCCGTAGCCCCACAATACTAAACCTATGGATGTAACAAAACAATCTGACCTCCCCCACCCAGTCTTCAGGTACGATTGTCGCGCCGGCGTAAGGTCCTAGGGCTGCGGAGTCGAGGCGAACGCTGTTCAGTTGCAGCCCTCATTGATGCAGCTCTTGCTGCACAGAAGTATCAAATGGTAACGCGCCTAAACTCATTAAACGTGCAAGTGACACCTATTGAGGCAAATGACAACAACTATCTTGCCCTTCGTCAACCAGAATGCGCACAAACTATAAGGGGACGTATCCGCGTCCGAACGAACACGATCTACCTAACTTCCCTCTCTTATAGAAAAGCAGGGCATGCCCTTACATGTTTGGGTACACAGAAAAGGATCTGTGTATCGAGGGACTGGACAAAGGTAGTGAGAGGATCCATAATCCCGAATACAGGACAGTGACGAGTGGGGAAGGATTGCTGCCATCTGCCGATGGTGGTTTTTGTATGCTCGTGCTGCTGCCGAGAATCATTTCTGTGAGGTTGTCGGAACAATAACATTGCTACTGATCATATGAGGAGCCGTGTGAGTTGGGCTTGGGCTGGAAGCCTCTTCTTTGTGCAAGCAGTCCAACCTCAAGACTGTGGACGAGCCAGACAATACAGTACCAAACCGCGAGGGAGTTCTCGAGTGTCCGGCAAACCACAAGTGGGAGGGGAGGTAGAGGCAGACTCAACTTATGAACAACTAAAGTATTGGCAGCAGCTGTGGGGATCCAACTAAAGGTAAAAGAAGCTACGTAGAGCACAGTGAGAAATGTGTTGGCGTGGGAAAGCACGCAGAGTGATGGTATGAGTATCGCTACACTCGCAGCAAGGTGATTATTTCTGAAGGCCGCTATGCTACCCGACCAACGGCTTGTTGTACACACTCACGCGCTCCACGCGTCTGGTTGTTCCCGCTAGGTAAGTGAAGCCGCGTAAATGTTTCAGGAGAGTTACACCGCACATGACAGTCTCGTGTCGCATACCCCGTGGTTACTTAACGTAGCAATCTCGCTGTTCATGATTTCTGGGTTCCGTTGCCTGTGTGCATCTGCCTACACTTTGTTTGGGGAAATCTAAGCTGACAGCAATGACAGTGTGGAATTTTCAAGTTGGGGGAAAACATCTGAGGCGGTCCGTTAATCCGAAACGACCAAAACAACGCCTAACCGAATTTATGGCGACTTCATTCGGCAGATCTTCCTCCTGCGCTCTTCGGAGAGAGAGCGCTAACCCACCATAGCCCTACCCATCAAGGTTGGACGTGATGACGAATATCTTTTGTCTGACCAGCGAAAGTTTATGAAGGCCTGCAACAATTGGCTAACCTGCCATATCGAAGCTGCAGCCATATCAACGATAACCTCTCTGCTCTCGTATTTGAGGTCCTTTCTGTGTCATGTACAGATACGCTTGCATACGCGTCAATTTGATACGATTTGGACTCTGGATATGTCGAGCCTTACCAAGAAAACGAAGACATGCCTCCCCTGTACAGGTCATAACAACTGACAGTCGTTAAAATAGAAAGGAGAGCAGGCAGGCCGGTAAAGTGTCGAAGCATCCTCTCTTGTAACCCCCCTCAGATTGGACCGATCACGAGATATACAAATTAGTCCACTAGTGGTAGTAGATGCACGCACATGAGCTTTCACGCGGTGCAGCTTTCGTTTGAACAGGTATCCAGTAAAAACGGAACACCAGGAAACACAGCACCTTCCTGCAAGGCAACGCAATAAATGCTATAAAACAGTTGAATTAAACACAACAGTTGAATTCTTTCCTTTTCACTTAAAATCGGGCAACGGGAAACCGAGCCGGTTCCCCGCAGTCACTGCAGGATGCTTGCACCTGCGGCCACCGTATTAACAACAAACCCCTGGAGGTCAGCACTCAGGCCTGCAGTTTGCGAGCGCGCCTTTCGTATCATTTATGCAGTCAGAACACCCATAGAAACTATCGAATGGGCCGCTAGTGTACTATGTGGCCTTTGACGTTGCTGCCATGGACTTCTCGTCTGCAGGCGTCTTCTTAAGGGCTCAGAAATAGCCTAGAAACTGACTACAGGTTTAGGAGTACATCAAACAAGTTTCGCATGTGTTGGCGAACGGGATCACATTGTAGCGCTAGTCTCAGTAAGCTGCTCTGAAACTCAGACGTGAGGCCGCGCTCCCCAAGGCCAAGGTACGTGCGCTGCCCTACCCAGGACAGTACTGGGAGATATCCTCGGTGCAATTTACGAACTATATCTTGAGTATTTTGATCCCTGTATAGCCCACGACTGCCACTAGGTAAATTCGGCGGTCCTAGCAGAGCCAGTCTGTAGCATTCGCCGTCCGATGCTGGCAAGTCGGCCCACTGTCGGCTCGTGAACGCTTACCCGGTCCTACACAAACGGAACGCAAGTAAAGCTCCAACAAACTGCCTACAGTGCCCACGCAGAGAGTCACGAAAGAGGGTTTGAGCTTGCATGTGGAGCTGCAGTTTTCAGTTGCAGGCCCTGTACCGTCAGTTCTAGCAGTTTCTGCGCTGCAGCTCATGGCTCCAGGCGGTGCTCCAGGCGCTTGAGCCTCTGCGCTCAGGGCTCCTGGCGACTAAGGAATAAGGCCAGCTCCTTTCAAGGAACTCCAATCCTAGGTATTATGGTTCCACTGCAGCCCACAGTAGTCGTAGGGTACGACGCAGAACCCGTTACAGTTTGAGCCGCTCCGGTCAGGACGCCACGCCTGGGAAAGAAACTGGGGTGTCAGATGCCTTTAATTAATTTTCACAGCTATTGTGGCTTCGTTACAGCCCGAAATTGCCCCCCTACAATATCCAGGACCCGCCGCTGTCCGCAAGCCGCCGCGCTGCTCAGTGACCCGTGTTTCGTCGCCTTGGGTAAGGCTGCACACCATAAGGGTCGACATGTTTGATTATCACACAGTGGTTAGGAGCTATTTGTTGATATGCACAGCTGATAGCAATCCGACCGCCAAACAGAAAGCTGCAATGCAGATGGACGAAAACGTCAGGTGGTGGTCCGGGGCTGCATGCCGATCTCGATCATCAACTATAACAGTATTCTAATGGCCTCTGGTTTTGGTGTTTGATGCAGCTACTGTTACGTTGTTCGTGATGATGGGACTATCATATCTCGTTGGGACGCTGTTGATCCTTTTTCTGCAGCACTTTCCAGATTTCTTGAGCTCCAACGCCATACATGTGGGCGAGCCAGCTTGGGATGCATATCTTTCCACACAGCCTTTTGACGACGAAGAACGTACTTTCGTTTTAGAGCTGTGTACATGACAGGCGGGCGATATCGGTTCCGCTTCGGTCCGGCTCCCTGCTTGCCGCTGTACGCACCCCGCTGGAACAAGACTACTAGCTGCATTCGTCCTGTGTATTGGGGGCTGAAAGAGTTTACGCCGTTCACTCGACTAACTTGCTCTGGTCACGAGTGCTCACGTGCCCTGCAGATGGAAACCAAGATGACTAAACCAATCGCGGAGGCGAATGATGCGGAACTTGTCGTTGGACTTTCAACAGCATCCAATAATGAAGAGGCACAAGCTGTGAGCCACTTCACTGATGCCGAAATCAGCGTTCTCTGAACCTCTTACGTTGTGCCCACGGCGTATTTGAAACAATTCTTCTGTGCTGCTTAGTAGAAGCTGCCTTAGCATGGTCGGCAGAATCAGCGCATACGTAATTCCCACAAATGATATTATACGTTGAGTAGCTTAGTAATTTTGATGTTACTAACAGCTCTCGTTGAAATGTTTAATACTTTTTTTCAGATCGCAGAGCACCTCGTCAAGGAGCGCCTCGCCGCATGCGTGCAAATCATACCTGCAATACAAAGTATTTACGAATGGAAGGGGACAATAGAGGCGCGCACTGTCACTCCCCACAGGCATTGCCTCCAGCACTCTCAAGTTGTATTAGTCGCCTTTTGAGAAGTCAATGGTCAACGCTTGGGGGTGTGATGCACGGCACCTGCTGTTGGTGTGTAACTATGCAGAAGAGTTCCGAGGTGCTGATCATCATGAAGACGCAGCGAGCGCACACCCAAGCAGTGGTGCAAGCAATAAAAGCGAAACACTCGTATGATGTCCCGGAGGTGGGTTTGCAAGTCGGGTGATCGACGGAGATAGAATCGTACACACGAGTACGCTTAGTATGAGCAAAATCCTAGCATGGGATATTAATGCGTTTTCTGGTTTGTTGGGTGCCTGCTTGTGCCAGGTGGTGTTCACTGATGTCGTGGATGGCAACGCAGTGAGCTAAATGCTTTGTCATCCAACAATTTGCTCCTCCCTCCAATCATGAGCTGTTGCTCTCTACCCAAAGTCGCCGGCAATTGAAAACCACAAAGTTACATTGCCGCCGATGTGCCACTTGTTTGTATCCCAACGCAGGATTACCTCAAGTGGGCTCGAGATGCTACCCAACGAAGCGTAGCATAGAGCTAGCTCATTTGTTCTATGGCAGCGGCAACGCGAACAGGTGCTGGAATTCGCCCCTGCTCCTGGGTCGGGGAGTAAAAGCAACGCCGTCTAGTACAAGCGGCATATCTACCTTTCGCGTTTTTAAGTGTTTGGGTCATACGTTTTGGACATCTTGAGTTGCTACTGTGGATTCTCATTTGCATGCCCGCTGGACATGGTACTTCTCTTCCCGTGAGGGACAGCCTAGAATAGCAGCTTGCCACTTCTAAAAGCTTATCGCGCACTACATAGTTAGTGTTAGCTCTGTTAGTGTGCATACCCATCATAGAAGCCCAAAGCAGCGCCTGATAGGCGTATCACCTGCTTCCTAGCTGTTTCAGTTTTCACCGGCCTACGCCAAGTCTAAGCTCAGACAAAGCTTGCGCAACGTGCGGTCCGGCTACGCCCACTCCTGCACAGTAGCAGGAAATGAGGGATACGAGAAGCATGCGAAGAGCTGGCTTCACACAACCTCTACTGGGTGAAAGGGCTTGCTGTGCACGAACACTGCTCAAGGGATTCCCTGTGATGTCTACTTCTTCATCGGAGTGATGCTCAGTGCTTTATCGGAGTTGTGAAGAGGTGCATCCGAATGGCCGGTGAGCACTCCGTAACAACCATTCTCAAACGTGCGTCTAGGGTGTTGTCGCATGAAATTCTTCCATCTGCGGTCAGCAATACTACGCCGCCACAGCTGAGCAACCGCAGCACATGCAGCAGCAAAGCATAACACGATTCCAACCCAACACCATCAACAAATGATAATTCCACAGGTGGACAACTTAGTGACCGAGAACTGGAACGCGTGCACGTTTCTCACTCACCAGGAAGGCACCGAACTATCACCAGAGGGAGGCGGTGGGAGATACCGGCCCAACTTGTCAATGGAAAGTTTAACTGTCTTCTTCAGCCCTGCTTCATCGCTGAGGATTTTGCTATACTTTGCTGCAGCTGCGGGGAGAATACTTTCAACGAGTGCCCTGTCCATTTCACGGCACCTAATAATTACTTCAGATTCCAACAGGCGCAACAACCCCTGAATGGCATATCACACAACTCTCCGGCTCAAAGGAACAACTGTGGGGGACAGGAGGACCGCAGGAGGGGGAATAAAGGGATATGCCCATCACTCACCTGGACAATCAGATCCACAAGAAGCTCTTTGTACTTGGCAGTGTCGGAACATATCGCAGCCAGCTGTTTCTGGGACTGCGAATAGACTTCGGTGACCACCTGTTCTTGGGCAGCGATTCGGCGGAGGCGTGCCTTGTTAATTGCCGTCGATCTGTCTCTAAAGCACCACAGACACGTCCTCAGAAAGACAAATCAATGACGGTGCCCAGGCTATGAATGGAATTGTTACTATTACCCTATATGCGCTTGGAACGTACATGGAACGCTGTACTTCAAGCTTTTTAGCTTTCTTGTCGAACTCCTGACGAATCTTGTCCTTCATCTGTTGAACAAGCTTTAGCTTCTCAATGTTGAAATCCTCCAATGCACGCGCCTCTATTTCCTGGGCTTTGTCTTTGGCTTCGTTCAAAATGAACTTCACCATTTGCTGGATCTGGGCAAGGGCCTCCTGGTCATCCTGCGGAAAGCCAGTTCACACAAAATGTTGGATGGCATTAGCAGACGAAGAACAACTGGAAGGAAACGGTTTCATACGGATTCGAGATACGAAGCAGGTAGTTCCCGATATACCACAGTGATTGTCAAGGAAATACTGCTGGGACTACCCGCAAGGAGCGTCGTGTAGCTCCTGCTGTTATGAAAAGACCGACTCAGTAGAGGCCTCCGTTTGCGGGATTAGCTCACCATCGCCATTTTCAGAGTGTCTTGGGCAAATACCAAACTACACTTCACATGTCACCCGTTCCCTGCGCAGAGTCAGAATGGCAAAGTTCGAAAAGAGGTAAGCAGATGCACACACCGAGCAGGCCCTTTACTCTAGAAAACCTGAAAGAAATTCTTCAACTTCAGGCATTAAACAACCGGAGTTACGCGTGAATGCAACCCTGGAATCTGCATAAGCCCCCATCAAAACCACCAGTGGCCACGGATGGTGAGAGGGCATCCAGAAACCGGAGGTCTGTTCTGCTGTTATATGAGCCATTGCAGAGCAGAATATTGGCAAATGAAACAAAGTAAGGCTGCAGGCGAGTATAGAGGACAGTTCAGTCGACTCGATTAACCATCCAATCATTCAACAGCCATGCAAGGAGAGCAGCAGGTGGCTGCCGATCAACCACGTCGGTGAATCGTCTAGAAGAACTGTTTGCGTCACGCTCACCTCACAGGTGGAAAATTTACTGGTTGATCTTTGTAAAGCCACGGGGTTTTGGATACTCTCGAATTCGCTTGCTGGTGACGCCCTTGTGCCTGGCGTGGACGTTGCGGTCGGTTGATCGGCCTGGGAGCCGCCAAACAGCCACAACGCGAATTGTATATTTATATATAAGTTGTGTTTCAACCTCCTACGAAAAGAGTCGCGCTTTCCTTTAGAGTGAATCTGTGGGCCACTGCGAGAACTCTAGTTCAACCGCCGAGTGGCAGGGCTGTCCCGCCCTTTGCGGGGCTGTGTCCCTAAATGTATGCTAGTAGCACGGTAATATCCGTCTTAGTAAAATCCAAACAGCTCCAAAGATGTTGTGTGGCTAGTTTCAGCACTGGAACATTGTTTCCATCTGGAAGTAGTGGCTCGCAGTGCTTTATTACTAGTCGCCCGTGTTAGCAGGCGCTGAAGTAGCGGAGGGGGCTGCTGTTCTAAGAGGCAACTTACGTTGCACTCCTGCAAGCTTCTTTTTGTCAGGCAGCACATGCGGAACTGTGCAAGGCTGGGGTGAACTAGCTGCAAGCCGTAATATGTCAAGCGAAGCGCTGGTCCTGATCGGGTTGGTTGGCGACCAAATTCCTGAGGGCGACAAGACACAAGCGGAAGAACTTAGCAAATTTGGGGGGCGCCCGGTACGTCTGAAGCCAGATGATTCCTGTATTTCCTGCAGCATTGGGGTCAAATGCTTAGCGGGTGGCTTTGTGGCATTTGACTGAAGGGTGGAAGGCTGTTCGGTATCACATCCGTGCAGGTTTGGATAGATGGCCATGTTCCGGATGGTTTCCCCTTCACCTGCTCCGTTTGCGGTGCGGAGCTTGACTTTGTATGCCAAATGTAAGCGTTTCCCTGCCTAATGCAAGGTGCTACAGACGCCAACTATTGGAAGTCCTACTGCTAACGTGCTAATTTTTGGTGTTGCTTCGCGTACACTGCAGAGAAAGAACGCGCAAATTTTCTGTTCAATATCTACAGAGCAACCCCGTACTGTGCAAACAAACGATGCCTTTACCTTTTCGGGTGCCACAAGCAAACGGCATGCAACAAGAGAGCTGACGGCTGGACGGTGTTGAGGGGCGTTGTAGAACCACCTGCCTCATCCCAGGGTGCAAATAAAAGCCTCAACAAATCACCTGATTACAAACCTCAACTTCAGGATCATGGTACACTAAAGTCCCCGGATCCATTTGATTGGCTTGAAGCGGCGTTCGGCTCCAGGGACCCCGCTAGCTCTAGCAATGCTAACTGCTGCCGACAGAATGAGGAGAACAGCGTGCCAGAGGCAGCTAATTTACAAACTTTTGAGTGTTCTGAAGCACCTCAAAAAGTGAAAGAACTGATGCCCGCTTTGTTTGTCCGCATTGAGCATGAGCCTCCAGACAACTCTCTTTTCGACGCTACAGGTAAGATGTGCACACCGTAGTACAGCTCTAGCCTCCGTGCAACAAAAGCTGCCTGTATTTTAGTTGTCTGGCTTGATAGAACAGACGAAGTTCGGAGAACTAGGGACACTCTGCACGAAAAAATATTACTTAAGATTCTGAATCAATCCCGTACAACTAAATGCGATGTATCGACACAGTTTTTACAACATTACCAACCCCCGCCAGTTGTTCTGCGCAGGATTGCGGGCACGCCAGTTACAGCTGGAATACGAACAGCGGTAAGCCCCCTTCAGCTCTAGCAAAATGTCTGCATGTGGCGCCTTGTGCCTTTAATGTCAAATTTGCTGGATTGTCCGTGTGGCGCAGCCAAGAGCAGGGTTCAGCGGAAGATGCAGAAGGAAATCAGTATGTCTAACACTGTTCGCATTTTCTGAAAGGCTGTTAGTGCATTTGGGAGGAGCATTTTGTACTTTGGTGAGGAATGCGCTTGACGGTTCAACACAGGATACTGTCTTTCGTATACGCACAGAAACACCACCGCTGAGGCAGAAGCATATGAAGAAAGCCCAGACAAGGTACGCCCGTAGTGTATTTTCTAAGCTTTGTTTGGCGTGCACATCATGGCACCTTAATACTTAGAACATAAAACAGCAACTCTCGGGTAGTGTGTGTGGTTTGGTGCTAGGTTTTTCTTAAGCTGCAAAAGCGACTTTCGAGAATGCCAAAACAGGCAATCCGGTACTGCTTTGGGGGGAAGCCCTTGTTCATATCTCCTCTTCCGAAAGAAGAGCCGTTATCAGTTCCGCCCTGCCCACAATGCGGCAGCGACCGGGTGTTCGAAATGCAACTTGTCCCAGCAGCGGCAGAAGAAGTTGAAAAGCGGTAGGCCTAGCGTATATCTGCTTTCAAGGACTTGCCTAGCTCAGCAGGGATGCAGTTGCTGCGCCGGATTGCTTTTTGGTGGATGTATGTATCGGTAGTCTGAGCGTCCTTCCGTTGAAATTAGGCGCCATCCATGTTTATTCAGTGTGTTGTGCTTCGTGTTGCGCGTAGGCGTTATGCGGTTGATGCAACGCCCATCGAGTGGGGAGTTGTGGCAGTTTTTACATGTGAGTTGAAGCACAATCTGTGCTTGCAGCGGACCGAAAGCTGGTTGGAGGTGGGGGTCTGTCACTCCCCTTGTAGACTTGGGATGCTGTTCTCTGTGTAGGTAGGAAGGACTGCGTTCCTACGAGCATTTACACCGTCGAGCACGTCGTCGTTCAGGAGATTTTATAAGTGCGCCTCGTGATCTGCCGTGCATGTACATCTGTAAGGCGTAGTGTCTAGATGCCTCGTGCCAGTTTGAGTGCAGCATCACAATAGGTCGTCTTCAGCGTCCACGCCAGTGCTATAAGGACAATCCACCCGATGTATCCAGCACAAATCCAGTTATTTGTAGCGGGTACACCGTGTATAATGGGGCAAGCAAGCTTGTGAAGCCTTTGCACCGACGCATGCTCAGTTGATGTAGACGTTTCTTGGTCTGCATGTGTTGGTGTCCTGGCAGTAGGCAACCAGTGATTACCAGTTTGTGCCGCTTAGTGACGAAGTGCTACTCACTGCGTACGTCGCAACGTGAACCTGCCAAGATTGACCGGCGTGTCAGACGGCTTCAAGACGATTAATGAGTCATGTGGCAGGAACAACTGGTCTCCAATCACAGCACAAGAGTCCACGGTAACGCTTGCATGGGGGCAACTGAGTGTCAGGACATACGTCAGGGTGTCTCGCCTGTTGCTGAAATATCCAGCAAATATTGAAGACCGCACCACCAACAGACGTTGGTGGAATTACGTACTTCGTTTCGAAGGTATTTAGTCCAATGCGCGCACCTCCTACAGCTGAGCAGCCCTCCCTGCATGTGTCCGTTGAATCGTAGAGTGTCCAGAAAGATATGTGGCACTCGCTGAGGGCTATATGATGCTCAGATGCCACACTTATAAAAAATATCGCATCGATTGCGGCGGCACTAAAGGGGGCGTGCCACACCCAAACTGCCATGAACAAAACCGTACACGTTGTACGAAACATTTCAAGGGGGTGGTAATTGCCCTTCACACGCAAAGGCACGTCCTCGTGTCTCACACTTCGCTTAGTTCGGCCGCAACCGTATCTTTGAAGAGTAGGGTCGCCCGCAGCGCCAGTCGTCCCGCTTGGCTTAGGTGTACAGACGCACGGGTACTGACGTAGCCAGGGTGGCATTTGAACTTCGCCGTAACTGATATTAAAGGGGTCCCACCAAATGCGTAAAAACCTACATACCGCTTGTCCCTCCCTACCAATGTGTGAATGTGTCATGGGACACCGCCATCCTGAATCTAGAGCAAAAACTACGCGATAACGTCCCACTACACTGATCCAGGAGCACGCCCTAGCTCCCATATGTGCTATTTTCAGCACAAACAGCCATAGACGCCAATAAACATTGCATTCCTGTCCCTGCTGGGGACTTTTAATCATCTGGCCTGGGTCTCGCTAGCACAGGCTAAATACTCAACCCGAGGCCTTAAGGCTGTCCTTTCATGTTATCGGGTACCTCGCTCAGCCGATTACCAGCCCGCTTGCAGCGAGGTACTTCTGGACGCGGCATTGCCAAGGGCGATAACGGATTTACCGGCCAAACATGACGGTTTCCTATGCACCATTCTGTGAAGTGTCTGCTCAGCTAGCCTGCGAAGGGTGCTCCCCCAAGGGCACTCAACGTGTGCTAGACAACAAAGAAACAGAAGTTCCTTCAATCCGCCGCTGGAGCATCCTCTGCTGAAGCGACAGGTTGAGTCCAGGATTCTTCTGACTTGTTCGTAACTGCTGCTTCTCCCGTGACATCGCCACCACCTTCCTCCTTTGTCTCCTTCTCTTCTGACTCAGTGTAACCTGTAACAGGAATGTCTGCAGGTGCTCCTTTTCCATCCTGAGCCATTTCGTCGGTGCTCAGTTCACCCTTCCTGACGGAAGCTGCTGCAGCCATCGGCTCTTCACCGGCAGCTTCCCCATCGTTGGAATATGCCGGCGGGTCTTCAGCTCCACCTGACTCCTGTACTTGTTTCGTTGTACCAGTGCCATCCTCCGCAGAACCTGCATTACTGCCGCGCTGCCCCGTCCAAATGGGAGCTCTGCAGAGACAGACAGGGGAAATACACGACGAAGTATCCACAAAAGCTGCATTGCAGTATTACTGCTTACAACGAATAGCCAGCACATGCGGCAACGCATACCCAGAGCTCGAGTGCGTCAAGGGCGGAGTTGGGCTGCGACGAGGCTGCTCCTCGTCAGTTAGGTCTTCATTGAGGCGACGTTTCGGCCTGTTTCGCCGTTGCATATCTTGATACTCAGCCAGCCGTTTTGCTCTGAAAGAATTTAACATGCGCGCAAATTGTGTTGTTCTCGGAAACCCTACGATTTTCACGGAAACATCCAACGCGAGTAACGGACGAGAAACAAACACGCCTTACCTCTGTTCGATCCATGAATTCAACGCCTGTGGACTCCTGCAACGAGAAAGATAGTCCTGCATCAGCTTCAGGCCTGGGAGCAAAAGAAAACAAGAAAAATATATACGTCCGCACGTTCAACTCATGAACTGCTGCGTTGGGGATAGCCAAAGCCATTGGAAGAGCCGTAGGCCGGAATCTATGAGTCGACTCTGCGTACATCTCGCCTTAAATGTGAGATATGGTTTGTTGTTCTCGTGAAGAAACTCCTGCTTGTTCAAGGAAGGTAGCATCCACTCCGGGACATTTATCACCGCGGTGAAGGCATATCTGCATATTTGCGGAGGTTCCCCATCTTGCCCGAAGAGGCGCTCACTCGCTGATTCACAAGTACATAGACCAACAAAAGAGCATCTGGGGGTCATGCATTGAACACAACCAACGCTCTCAAATCACAGCCGCACAAGCTCACGTGACGCAGGAATCACGCGACGACACTCACGGGGATATCGCGATGCCTCAATGTACTTCGGTGCGTCTGGAAACGTGCACTCCAGCTTTCGAATAAGGCGTTGCTTGAAGTACAACATAACCCCTGCCTCGCAAACCCTGGGCTGTGATGACTCGTTCATCGGGTCATTCAAAAAACCCATCAACGCGAAGCATCCGGCATCATGATCCGCTGGCGTAAAAAGGTACGAAAGTTCTGCCTGTTGCATCACACAGGCATCCCACACAAGCGTCGCCAAAATTCAACCTGAAAGGAGTCAAAACAAACCCTACGCAGAGAGTGCGCAACCAGATCGCCGGTCGAACTGCTCCTTGATTGTAGGTCAGAACTAGACAGCACATTACCGGAGCATAAAGGCGCTGCTTCAAGAAGAGATACAATGAAGGCGAAATAGTGCTGCCGTCTGCCATGAGCTCCCCATCAGAAGACCGCTTTTCTGCCAAGGCAGTCTGAGGTCTCGATATTGATGCAATGAGGCCGCTTGCTGCCTCTGCCTGTAACTCTGCCGCCTCCTGCTGCTCCTTACTGATATGCATTTCAGCAGCAGTTTCCGCCACCTCCGACGCAGCCTTTGTTTCTCGTGGCTCCCTCTGTCGTCCGCCGTAACTCAACGGCTGAGGTGTAAGAGGCATGCCTTGGACGTGAATGGTGGCCGGTGCATGCAAATTAAGCCAAAATAAGTAAGTGGCCAAGCAATAGTCTGGTGAATGTCTTGCAGTTGTCCAAAGGGGGAAATGCGGAGGCAGTGCTTTCTGGCTTCTTGCCTGCTCCACTTGGACGTCGGCAGAGCTGGTACGCTCTGAACCCACTTCAGGTGGCTGCTCCGATTTTACAGCTCCTCCAGAACTCCTATCTTCTGCATGACTGGACTCACCCTGCAATGAAGTGTTTAGCGGTTTCCCATCTTCGTCCACATCCAACATTGCAGGCCCTACGTGCGTATTAGTTGCAACAGTTTCATCAACGGGTGGCCGGCACGGATCGCGAATTGCATGTGGCTTTTCCTCGTTGCCATTTTTTGAACTTTCAGACACAAATCCGTTCGGGACCCCATGGGCTTCCACTGGCTTGCCTTCCGTCGCACGCGACCCAGGTGAGGGGCTCAAATGGTCCGCCGTCTTGACCTCTGACGAGCATGCCCCGGTTTCGCCGTTCCTTGACGGGGGAGAGCTTCCACACCTCCCCTGGACTGGCAGGCGGACGTCCGGAGCCGACGACAGGTACATCATGTTATCTCGAGGGTCCACCACCAAGGAATCCAGGTCATCTCGAAGATCCCAAAACACCATGCGAGACCCCGGCATGGTACCCAGCACGTTGATCTGCTCCGCCAGAAGCGATGGGGTTGTGAATGGTGTGTAACTGACATCAAACGAACCACAAACAGTACGCAAAAGGCCACTTCTCAAAGTCACATATATACTGAGCTGGCAACCAGGAGTGGTCTCCGTCTGAGCTGGAGAGAACCCCATGACACTTCGGCAAACGTGTCCATAGCTTCTGCACTTTCTACCAACAGTTGTATTCAGAGTCCAATTCTAAAGCAGTGCTTCAGCCCTACGTCATCAGCAGGCGCTGGTGGTGCCGGTGATCCGCCATGTTGTTGGGGTCCCTATTGATGAGCTCCTTGTTCGGCAAACGCCACATGCACATCTGCATGCACAACACAGTGTCACAGATGCCCGTCTGTCACTACCACGAACTAGCTTCTATTTGTGCTGAGGGACAAAGGAGCGGTGGGGCGGCAGGTAAGGGAGGCAGGGGATGCGGAGCTACAGTGGGTCCCACTGGCGCAGCAATTTCCCGAGCATCGCAATGGCCCATCAGTTCAAGGGACAGCATGCCTATGCCAATAGTTCCTTGCGTTCTCGACATTATGGCACAGCTCGAGGCAATACGACCGTAGGCCATCTTGAAGCCGCAGCCATACTCGTATCCCTCTGCAACCACCCACACCCAAACACGATTGCAACACATCCCATGAAGGCCCATCCGGGCCACCTGCCGGAACACACCGTTGTATGCTGTAACATAAAAAAGCCGAAGGGAAGACGATATTACCGGAAAACCTGCTAGACGACATACTTCGGCGACGTTCCCCCGGCTCGAAGCTACCATAGAGGCGCAACAGCTTATTCATTGCCGGGTAATCAAGTCCTTGCCCGTCGTCTTGCACAGAGAGCATTGGATCTTTGTCGGGAGTCTCTTCGAACTTGATCCAAACGTTACGGCAGCCTACAGACGGGTGCATGGCGTTGTCCACCAGCTGTGCAATGGCCCCCATAAGCCACCTCTGCTGGCTGCAAAGTGCCCAGAGGATCCCAGGAGTATGGGTGTCCCGTTGGTACCACGAGGGTGTCATTCGCATTGAGTTTATGCCGTGGCCCATGAGATGAGAATGTAGCGACTCTCCCCCGACAGGGCAGGGAACCGCGCCTGGGCCGCCCTGAGCCATTAGCCCCTTGTATGGATCATCCCCAGTGAGAGACAGAACCCAAGCGTCTCCAAGCACCTGCATAGAAATCGGCAAACGTTACGTTGTATCCTTGCCAAGCCCCCCCATTCCCATCATCCCAGGGAACAAAACAACTCGGCATCACAAGCGCTCACCTGATGACGCCTGAACCCGCCATGAATGAACAGGCACGGGACAGGGGGGCGGTTGGGCTTGGATGCTATGTTGTGAGTCTCGAAAAAGCAGGCAACATGGCGCTGCCTTGCACCAAACGGCTCCCCGACATAATCCGCAGGATATCGGGGTTTGACAGTATACCATTGCTTTTTGGAAAAGAAGTACACACTAATCTGGTCGGTTTCCGTGGCCCGGACTCGACCACCCTCCATAACGGTTGTCACACCACTCGTTATTAGCATAAGCCGTTCAATTGTACGTGGCTCTGCCCTCTGCGAGAAACAGAAAAGGCGCAGTGTTCAGGAGAAGGCGATGAACAAGCACACCCTGTTGAGACCAGAACAACGTCCTGTGATCCCCCGAGGTCAAGGATATTGGAAATAATGCGAACAATGCTTACAGGCTCCTGGTAGCGCTGGGTGATGAATATCGCTGCATAGTGGGAGCGCGGGCCCATTTTCCCTTCGTAGATTTCCTGTTGCCACTCTCCTACAACTACTGGTCCAGAGTGTGCCTCATTCACTATATCCTTAATCTTGAAATGCCAGAAGTCTTCAAGCAGCACTCGCTCTCTGCAGGAGACCCTCCCGTTGGCGCCGTGCGTCTCTCCGCCAAATAAACTCAAGTGAAGGTCTTCCGACCATATCATGGAAAAGCCGTACCGAGGAGGCGGTTTGGTATCCCCAACACGAACTTCAGTCCATGTGTTGCTCGGAATGTGCAGAGCCCACATGTCATTCAAGCAGTGGAATGAAACGCTTGGGTTCCTGCAAAGAGGACCAACCCAAACCAACACACGCCTGCGTGGACTAACTACGACACCTCTGACGTCGAATGCCACCTTTACTTCTCCACTGCATCTGCCCAATGGAGTGCAATTTGGCGTTGTTGGTGTCCTCTAGCGCTTACCCTGTCCGCCCACCGAAAACAAACAGAAACTCGGACAGATGATCTGAGCTGTTCTCCCGCCAATTCCCCGTTTCCGTCTTAGCTGGGAAAACTGACGCCGCATGCTGGTCACGCGGAGCTGGTGGCAGCCCAGCTGGATGCTTCCGTACCCATCTGCGAATATGTAACATCAGCAGACCACAAACTTGGAGCACGTCCGTGGAGTACTGTCTGGGGATCGAACCACACTTTCCAACCACAAAGAGCAAGCTCAGCAACGATGCAACGTCTATGGGCATGTCCAGCATCGCAGCGATTCCGTGTGCCAACTATTCCTCTTACCTCTTGAAATCCAGCTCCAGAATGTAAACATCATTGCAAAAGTGATTACCCGACAGGCCTCCGAAAAGAATCACACCTGGGGTGTGCTGCAAGGTAAGACCGTTGGTGCTGTGGCCATCTCTTTCTGACGGATATTCCCCGCAGAAGACAAATATGCGGGAAGAGAAAAAGTTTAGGTTGATAATGCAAGCACTGCGGAAGCTTACGCCTTCCCCTCTCTCGTTGGTCCCCCCAAAGAATATTGCCTTGTTGCTGAAGGATATGAGCGTGTGCCCGAACACTGGGACGGGGGTGAGAGGGCGCCGCACTGGCAACCAGCGAACCTTCTCAAAGACTGCATCAGTTGTAGCATAGGCAGAACCACCACGCACACATTGCGTAACGAGACGGCGAGAAAGGATACCAAGCATGCCTCAATTCATGCAGACCTCTCTCGTTACCCCTAATCCTACTGTTGCTCCTCCTGCGGCTACTAATTCTCCCCTCCAAGCAACTGTAGCAACTGCTGCCTTCCTGGATAAAGTCCACTTACCATCCTTTGTGCTTTGTGGCGGCATCCTCCTTGAGTCCAGGTTGCGTCTGATCACCCTAAGAATGGCATCTCTACTCGTGAGGCCTGGTCCTGAGGCTCCACCATCGAAAGCGCCGCTAGCCGTCTGTTGCTGATCCTGGGGAACCCCCACTGCCGATCGAGCCCCTCCGGCTACAACACCGTGGGGCGTCGTGCTGCTGGCGCTCCCTGCTTGACGAAAGCACAACAGTTGACAAACACCGCACACTAAACCGATGGAGGAAACTCTGGAAGATTTGAAGGTGGCAAGGTGGAGGGGCGGGACGAACATTTGATTACTGTAAAAGGTCCCTGTGAGCACTCATAACTAATTTAAAGCCAGCATTGCAACCGAGCAAAACCTTCCTACCTGAGGGCTGAGGGCTGTGAGCCGGTTGCTGGTTTGTGGTTTTGCTAAGCCCGAAGGCTTTCTCTATCCTAGCCAGCCCCCCTGCGTCAGGTACTCCAAGTCTGCCGGGTTCGTTCTCCAGCTTCCTCACGATTGTATGGAGCACATCGTGGCCAACAACGGCCCCAATGAAACTGTATACTTTTGAATGGGGAAGGTCGTGGTTCAGGAAATCCGTAACAATGCCACGAATCGAGTTCCGCTGGTCGGGCGTCGTTACACTGTCGCTTGCCAATGCCTCAAGCAGATTGAATAAGGTTGGCCGCTGACCCCCAGAGCTTGGCTGACTGGGGGCCCCTGTCACGCCCTGTGGGGCTGTCACGGTAGTAGGCCCTGGATGTGCTCGCACAGGACCCCCACCAGCCCCTGTACCCGCTGTGGCGTCGACTGCGCTTCCAGAAGCAGGGGCTACTTGCTGGTGGCCCATTGGCTGGCCTAAAGAGACGCTTGCAGCCGTACTAGTACCAGCTGCAGCGGTTCCAACCTGCTGTCTCCCTGCCGCTGCATCACCAGAACCAGAAGGATCATCGTCCTCATCCATGGCTCCAAAAGAAGCATTGAGCTCGTCTTCCCATGCAAACAGGCGCTTCTTGAGGAGCTCCATTGCTAAGACTGAAGAGGCCGCAAGAGAAATGGGAACAGAAACTGCAACAACCCTGCGCCCCGATCCGCCTGAATACGGCGCATGATAGAGAGTGACTCCTTCAGCGCCCTTTGGGGTGGATACAGAACACTGGCGCTGGACAGCTGCCATGTCCACCGCTTCTGCCGGGGAACAAAGAATGAAGTGGTGAGCTGTGCCATCCGTAATAAGACGGCTCTGTGAAAGGAGGTGCATGCTGCGCTTGGGAAAAGGAACTGCTCCGCCCTGAGCCCCAGTATGGGCTGACATGCCCACCAAAGAAGGATCTTGTAGAGGCGGAGCGCTCATTTTAGCACTAACCAGAGACAGGTTTCGCTCTTTAGCTGAAGAGGTGCGGGTGGAAAAGCTGAACCCGCATGGACGATGGACCCCTTACGGCAGCGGCCGCAAGCGGTTTACGCAACGCCAAAAATGGAGGGGCTGCCACAATGATTTGGCGCGGAGGTAAATAGGAAGCGGCGAAAGGAGAGAGAAGTGAGCACCTATAGAGTCTTCAAGAGACCAGCAGCAGCGCAGGTCACGAGCTGGAACCTGCAGTCGGCATGGTGGCACGCGGCTCTACCCATGCAGCTGCAAGCAATTTATATGATGCTCTACTTGATCAGTCCCTACAAACGTTTCATAAATCTCGCCCAACTGCTTCTGGACCGGACCGCCAACTTCTCCTAGCCTTGGTAAAGGGCCTTTGAGCACACCGCAATATGCACGCCGCTACGGTGGCACTAATCAAATTATACAGTCCTTCGACGTGTTATTTGGATACAGCGTGCCGCTTCGCCGTGAAAAGGGCACACGAGTCCGAGCTTGGGTGGAGGCACAGAGCCCAGGGGCAAGGAGGCTGCTAAGCTGACGCGAAGCAGCTTTCAGGATGAGAGATGGCAGAGCTGCTGAAATATACTACAGCAAACAGAGATGCATGGAGAGCGTGGGGTTGTCAGACGTTGGGCGCAACAGTGCGTGAGCCTCCCTACTATGTGCATGCTGCCGGTTGCGCCGCGGTGTCTCGCCAGCTGGGTAGAAAGGTGCAATGGTCCTCCATGATATATGCCCTTGGCACGTTTTTATAGCATGGCAAAGTACAAATGATTGGAGGTAGAGCCTGTAGCCGACAAAGGCGGGAGGAAGCGAAGTAACGGAGCAGGCTGGCTGCAAGCGGGCTGTTGAAGAACGAAATTGCCTTTCTAGTGGCAAGCGCCCTGTTCCGCAAGCAAAAAAGGCCTACAGTAAGTGGTAATGAAAAACAGCAAACTACAACCCGCATGTGAAGGACGGTGAGCCAATGAGCTGCCATTGGCGGGCGCACGGCCAGTAACGAGGGGAGGGAGGGCAGCGGGGAGGGCGGGGGAGAGGGGGGACCTAGGCAAGGCATCGCTACCGGTTCATTCACGAAGGACTGGGTCGTTTAGAAACTCAAAACACACACAGTTATGCATTACTTTGCAGAACAAAGCACAAAAAAGTTGTGGAGTCGAACAGTTAACATCCTCGTCGCAGACAACCCGGATCGTCGGAAAGGAAGGAGGCCCATTCTCGATTGCTTTGCCCCCTATTCTTTGCCATTTCAACTAGTGTACACTCACATGCTACTGCATGCAGGCCAGTCTTTAGTGTGTTCTCTAGGCTGAGGGTGCTCAACATAGCTAACCAACCCATTAGCCCAGCAGTATGGGCTTTGCACTAGGACGTGCAGTTTTGGCACTGCGAATATAAAGGTCCGATCATTGGCTAGCCCACTCATACAAAGGTTACGGGAGAAGTGGGAACTGCATGAATAGTCATACATTCTAGCTGTTGGTGGCGCTGGCGCTGGGCAACCTTGATGGTTTGCAAAGCCCCTGTACACTCACACGAGTTTGTCCTCGTGATTGGTCAGCGGTGAGCTAGACTAGCTTGACTCCCAGCAAATATCAACACAGCATTTAATGAGACGACGAGCGGGGTACACACTGGGTGAGATCATACAGTTTCGTAGCTGTCTTGGTCAGCGGCCCGCGGCAACATGCCAGTCGGAACAGAGACGTTATCCAGGGAAAGAAGCTGCCTCTTTTCAGCTTGCGAGTTCCAATAGTGGTAATCTACATTCCTCGAGTTCCAGTCTTTATTTAGCTGCATTTCCCGAGTTCCAATCTTGCTAAGCTGCAATCACCTAGTACCAATCGCAAGCTGCATTCCCCGCATAGAATAATAATTGCAGCATGGCAAGTTATACGCCTGGACGGCACGACAGACCCTTTGGGGCTCCTCTCACTGCTTTTACAGCCATAGTACTTCAACTAATCGCTGCCCGTGGTCAGCTGACCGCCAAGCAACCTGTTATAGTCTGGGAAGTCTGACATAACTGACGAAGGGTTTAGGTAGTCTTTTTGTCATGGAATGTGAGGACTCCACAATATACTGGATACACCTGCTACAGCATCATCGAATAATCTAAAAAAAACGATTCCTTACAGGAATATAAGAAGGAGCCTCATATAACGGTCATCGGCACGTTTGCCTCTGCGCTCAACCAGGAGTTACTCAAACCTAGGAAGCTCCGGTGTCCGTGGGTGAAACCACTCGACTTTCAGCTGCAAAGTGCTGGATTGCACTTGCCATCTAAATTATCGCCCTGGTCCAGCAAGCAAAAAACTTCCCCAGCTGTGTTTCGTACAAAGGCGAGGGAAGGGAAATTGTCTGCACTCCTATGCATATCAACGGTGAACTAGTAAACTTCTCACTTTCTAGAAAAACCCCTGCGGATATTCAGCGAAGCACGCACCGTCAGCACCTGCTTTCTACACGGTATCGAACTTCTGAAGAACTGCCTCACTTCTCCCGTTACCAGATCATCACAAGTCCTGCAGTGCACATACTCCTTCTCCCCTGCAGCCATAGGGTTGTACGGTAGACGAAGGCTTTGAGTGTTCCTCTACTGAAGAATGCGCCCCACAAGCAAAGCAATCCTCTGAAATATACACCTCTCCTAGTGATATGATAGTCTGCCGGCGACGCCTCAAGGGCAATCTGAGTGCACTGCCTTCCCAACAACACACTGGACGTCCATTGCTTCTGCTCATACTTAGATGCAAGGCAGTATACACTCAGAGCACGTCAAACCCTCTTTGCGGGACAATGTACCAACATGCAAGCTTGTGGGCCTGTTCAGTCGTCGAGTAGCCCGTCAATACTTGGCATGCTGTTGGAAACAGACAACCCTCTGGTCGAAGACGTAAGACCTAGTATGGGCAGTTTGCGTGTTGTACCAATCAGCGTTGGTTCATAGTTCCGGCATTGCCTCTTCGTGAACTAACTTCGCTGTGCCTGAAGAGTGCCATCCGTCTACATAGACGCTGTTTCTTACTACTGACTAAAGTAGCACTGAAATGGCAACTAATTGCAGCAAAATGAACTGGGCAGTCTTGTGAAAATGACAAAATATGGAACGCCTTCAGTTGCTAAGTCTGTCGGCCCAGTCCACCCCCCCTTCCATAGAACCGCCTGAAAAGTAGCAGCCGCCTGCCGTCTACTACCGAGGCCCCAGCTATATACAGCTCTGGGAATGTTTGCAAGACGCCTGCTGCACAATTAGGCCTTGACCTCGGCAGTCAAGGTATTCTGTGCTGCAGAAGACTCCGTAACAACCTCCTTGCCGACATCCTCTCCAATATCGCCATGGAGTTCCATGAGTTTGGTGACTGCAAGAACACGCACAACGACCGCGAATTCCTCATCGGCCGCCGCAACTTCTTGTTTGCAGGTAACTTAAAATGGGGAGGTGCTGATGCGGAAAAAGCATGAAGGGTAACTCCACTTACGGTCAAACTTCGGCTTCTTGATGACCTTCACCTTCCTGATAAGCACGTTCTGTAGAGGGAAGATGCCTCTGCATGCAGCCTCAATGCTCTTGCCGATCGACTCTGGGATGAACTTCTTCACCAAATCGCGCAGTTGGCACTTAGATGCTTCAGCAGCCATGATGCTCACCATCTTCTTGCGGATTGCGCGGATTTGGGAAGACCTCGCGTAGCAAGTGCTCTTGATCTGGTTTGGTCTGCAAACAAAATCGCCAAAGCGAGCGCCGCATGAATGCCAAAATTGTGCTTTTCATATATGCTACACACCAGTGATATTCTCCAGCGATCATCTGATCCCCAGTGCTAAAATCTCACCGCCGTTCAGTGAACGCAATGCAGAACATCCGCAAAGTGTATCCATCAACTGTCTGCACATCTACGAAAGCCTCAATAAGCGAATGCCATTTCCTGATCAGAGAGCAAAGCTTATCCCTCGTAATATTCATGCCGTGGAAATCTGTAAGGCAACTGCGGCCCTGGATTTCTTCGCATTGCAGCTTTATTTTCCGGAAACCCTGATCTTCATCAAGGTTCAGGTCTGCCAGGTTCACTTCGTAAACACGTCCGCGGAGAGAGTCCACTGCCAATTCTGCACACACAACGCTAGCAAAAGGAAAAACTATGATGCAAAACGCCTAAACTAAACCTAAGTCACGAACCCTCGTGGGTAGTGTTTGAGTGGCGCACAGAGCACAAGCGGGGGGTGTGCTGAAAAGAAATCATGACGAATACAGAAGTCGGGACTAGACAAACGCCACAATCGAAAAGACCAGAAATAAAACTGATTAGCAGTTCGTAGAGTGAGACAATGGAGGTGAAATACTTCCTTCTACTGCACTGGCTGACGGCCCCGCCCGCCATGTTCGTCTGTGGCAGCGAAGTGCGAACAGGCGAATTTGCAGGTAACTCGTACTTGTTCCAGCAGATTTAGTCACGAGAGTCTTGCCGAAGTTACGCTGCTGGAAGAGGGAAGGAGCCCTCAGATTATACCACTCCTTCTTCAGGAAGGGGTCCCCAACTTTCTTCTTTCCTCCCCTCTTGCCCTTGCTCATGCGCTTATTCTTGCCAATTGCCATTTTCGCTGAGCTTGAGGCGAACAATACTAGGGGAGACCCGGTAAAATTTCACGTTTAACAACGATACAGCTGCAACAAGCTGGTATATCTCCTTTACAGCCCGAGAGCCGCCGTGGGGTGTCGCACCGGCACAGCTACAGCTCCTGCGCATGCATGCCCCACCGGTCTGCGGTCAGCGAATTAACCCAAGAAATACGGAAAGCAAACATGTCTACTACAAATTGAAAAAGAATAATTCATTGAATTCCGTGTAGTACCAATATATCATACTTCCGCATGATTTGCCTCGTTTTTTCCAAATTTTAATTTGCGCTGCTCGTGTAGTGCGCAGGCACTAAAAATGTGGCTCCTGGGTGATCTCTAGTAGCTCGTTGACCATAAAGAGAATGATTATGGCATTAGAAACAAAGAAAGGGAATGAATGCAGCTAAAGGTTCAGACAACCGAGCACCGTAGGTGGAGCCATATGTTAGTAGGGTAACCCCGCCAGCTGCCACTATCGGCAGTGTTGCGCATTACCTAGTCACTACTTGGGCACCAGGTAGGCCCTTTTAGATATCTGGCTGAAAAAGAAGTAGAATTATTACTATATAGGAGTATTATGCCTATAAATAAGACTTTGGTAGATGGAAGTTATAGGTCAGGCTCCTGACCGGGTCGTTACCGTTGATACACCCCCCCGTCTTCCTATAGGGTGGGAGCTGACACCCAGCCATGACTGGGGTCAATTCAGAACACAGTTCTTTACTCAATGAACTCACCCCTTTGATAGCAAATGTAATCTAGCATGAATTGGAACTTGCAGCATAGACTTTGGAGAATTTGGTTAGTCAGAGGTCATTCTCAGGTAGCCTGGCAGGACGAGATGCTTAGTAGGCACCGCTTGGGACGGTTGCGCACTACAGTTCGTCTGCGGAGCGTTTTGACTGAAACGTGTTCTGACCGCTCGCCTGCGGCACGACTTGTTTCTGTAGGTGTATCGCTTCTACAGGGTGTATATCCTTAACAAACGAACATATTGTAGTCGTTCTTGGAGGTCACTACGTAGGTTTCCCAGCTCCTCCACCCAGTCGTGCAACGAGATCTACGCTGGACCGCCAAACGTCCATATAACTTACGATAAGAATTCAAAGCAGTTGACCTTCTTCCCTGGCCACCAGTTGTTTTGAATGGAGCAGCTGAATTGCCTGGAGCTGCGGGGGAGGAGGCGGCCCGCCATTAGTGTGGAATGAGCACATGAACCGCTTGTAAGCCCGAATAGATGAGATTTGCGAGATTAACATTCATCAACAATACTCTACAATGTCGGCACATGCGAGCAAGTGTTTGCTGGTGCATGTGCGTGGGGTCTATTCCTAGCTGCATTGCAACCCGTAACACGCCACATCCTGTTGGACAGCTACAGACGCTTGAGCCGCTTAGCATAGTACGGCTCAGGACGCATGGAGACTCGGGGAGGATATCAATGGCAGGTAAGTAACTCTCATCTCTAGACTGGCTTCAGTGAAACTCGCAGTAGCCCTTGAATAATATCCGATAGCCGTGCTACACTTAGTAACGCTGCATAGTCCACGTCATACATGAGTGATGAACGAGGCTCGTCTTCATAGCAAGGCGTCCCGCTGCAGACTCTTGACTAGTCATGCAGGCGCTTAAAAAAGTACATAGCTGTGCAATAGAAATATTTTTGGAACTCCCAGATCCTTCTCGAATACCAGCCCTGTACGTCTCTAGCGCAAAAATATTGATCAGGACCTAACGTTTGATGTGAAAGCGCCTGACCTTTCGGAGAATCGACGGGGGTGAATCATGCACAATAGCTGCTTCCCATCCATCCGAAAATGAACTGAAGAATGTCTTATCCAATGCCGTTCACCCACATATGGCTGTGGCTCTGAAGTATTGGCAATGGAGAAGCCTTCTACCACTTCAGAGCTTTATTATCGTCTACAACCAGAAACAGAAGAACTCGAGTTTCTATTGGTATCTTCCTCACTAGAAGGCAGGCATGTCATTGACGATGTATCTGAGCAACGATATTGCTTTTCCTGAGCACATCCGGACTGCTGAACCTTTCTAGCAAGCGCTACGCTGTAGTTTGAAGCCTAGGCCGTCAAGGGAACAAGCTAGCCCATCTCTATCTAGCGCCTTATCGATAGCTTCCGTCGCCTAACCATATCTGCCAAAGCCTGGTGAACGTATGCCCCAAGTTTGACCCTCAATTCTTGTATCAGTGATATACTACAAGACTCCTTCCAGATGAAAGGCAATTGGTAGCCGTATGGGAAGCGGGGAGACGAGTAGGGGATAAATGTGTACTTGTCGCAGAGATGATGGAATGCAATTGCAACAAACAGAAGAGAAACGCCACACCTACTGCGCCTGCGTGCAAGAAAGGGGGAGGGTTTGGAAACACACTGCTGAAGCGTTTCTGCAAAAGGGGTTAAGTAGAAGACTCACATTCGTGTCGAAATTACCTGCCTCCCAATAAATAAAGCTGAACAGCAGGCTCTTCGTCCATTGGCAAAACTTCCACATGAACGACCTATTGTTCCTGGAAGCTTCCTAAGCAGCGCCAAATAGCCAACGATGACCAAAGGTAATACAGAAGCGGAGTTAGTGCATTTCAAATGATATAGAGATGGCGAGCGCTTCCTAGGAGGCCACTGAGGATGAGAACTTGCTACTAGCACTGCTGAGCACTTATATATTGATTGCCCAGCCCGCTGCTTTAGAACAAATGGAATACACGGTAGTGCCGTACTGCAGCGAATCGAATCTTATATCTTACAGAGAATGCATATATCAACACGTAAGCTTGATGGACGCGGGAAATGTTGCTACCTTCAGAATTCAGTGTTTGGACGGCATGCGCCACCAGGAGTCTGTTGGGATTTTGTGGCTCAGGCCCCTAGTGTGATCCTCTTTTGTCCGAACTGGGTATCTCTGAGCTACCGCTGGCTCACCCCACGTCGCATTCCCGTGGGTTCGCAACTGATCTTACTGAAGATACCACTCCAATCTATGACTGGTCGAAGAAACAAGGCTGAATACAACTTCACAGGGTGCAAGCCCCTTCAAGAATTCTCCCGTGGAATGCCCACGTCCACTCCTCTTCGTCGGTCTCATGACGACCCGATCACTGCGCATCTGCTCGCCAGTGTTCTCCATAAGCACCACTCCTCTGAAGGTCGGAGCGCCTCTAGTTGTAAACGATCAACTTTCTCCTGACTAATGAAACTCTTAGATTTTTCCGAGTCTTGCATTGGCTCCCAGCCACATCTACCCTCAGAAATGCGGTAGTGCCCACACCGCACCATACTCCGCCCCCTATCAAACTCTGCGACCTCACCAGCTTCTCGCTACCATGGCGTCATTACACCCTCGCCAATCGGGTTAGCGGGTTTTCCCGCCCTTCCTGCGTCCCCTTAGCAGAACACGTGTTCTGCGTGCTGCATCTGCTCGACTTCGTCCCTAATGGACTCAACATCAGGCTGCACCCCTGTCTTCTGTGGGGCCTCCTCACAGTCAGCAGCCTCTTCCTGCGCTGATCTGCTCTCACGCTTCAGCGTTTTTCCCCACCTCGTGGAAACTGGAATGGCATGAGGTTCTGTCGCCACTCCGCACAGAATCCCTGTATACTCGTATGCATACTCATATGCATATATACTCATATATATAACTTACGTCGGGCCTCTCTACCCTCGTACTCTCTACCAACGGATTCCCCGCGGTTGCCTTCTCCACCCTCCATTTATCTGGCTCGCTGGCTGGCTCACGCCGGCTTGGCTACGTTCTATTCAGCAAGTGATCGGCAGATACTACTATCCTTGTGATGAACTTAGACAGTGGATCTTCGGTTGTGCCGCGGCTGATTCCCACTAACCATTCCACTATAGAATGGAGGGAGAGTGGAATCAACCTTTGGAAAAGGGGTCACTGGGTTGGAATTTTGTATATAGTTTCCCGGAACAGCCCCCATATGTAGTTCACAGCCCTCCTAACCTGTGCCTACTAATCGTCTCATAGCGTCTGGCTTTCTAACTACATCCTCAAACTACCTAAATTCTCCAAGTCAATAATTATAATTCCAAAACATGTTCGAGTATCTATTATAAACAAGGGAAGTTCCCAGAACAATAGAAGTCTGGGTTCGGAGCTTACTCCGACCTTCACTGGAGATCAGTGCCCGACCTGTAAGACTAACAGGAGATATCTACAACGACGACACAGTCAGGTGCCTGATCTATAAACCGCTGTCCACCTAAATGTCCTATTATCAGGAATAATGCTTCTATAAAATAATAATTCTATTTTTTTCCATTTAGACCTCTAAAGTCCTATCTGGTACCCAACTGGAGACTAAGCACTGCGCTACACTGCCGATGTGGGTGACTGGCTGGGTAACCTATGACTATGACTATACCTACGGCACCCAACTCTTTGAACATTTAGCCGTATTAATTCTTTTTCCTAGTTAATAATGCCATAATCCTAATATTTGTTCTCTCTACAATCAATAAACTACTAGAGATCACATCAGAGCCGCATTGTAGTGCCTGTGCACTGCAAGGCTCCAGTACTATGCACCTTGCCACAATTGGCCCAAGTGCAGAATCCTGTCGGCTCCATGACACTTGATCTATTTCCACTATTTGTTTTGTTGAGTTACTATATCGAGATTTGATACGAAAAGCAAAATATCGCACTGTACGCTCTCCAAATTGTGCCGACCTCTGGGTGGGGGGCCATCGACTGTCTTGCCTTCAGCGTGTTCAAGTGTTACTCTGGTTTGCCCTCTTTCCCTATTTGCTGTAAGTCTCTAGTTGGATGCGTGGTGGTCTTATAGAGGAGAGGCGTCCTCTGACTTCTGCAGAGGTGGTCGAGCAGGCGAAGTAAGCTGTGGCGTCTAACCGTCGGCTGCTCGCCAGGTGTTACTCTGCTGTTCTTCGCTGTGCAAGAAGGGGCCCACTAGGTATAAAATATTGTGCAATCACGCAGGCGCTTGGCAGTGAGCTTGCAATGGAGAACACGTTGGGTCTTCGAAGTGACCTGGAGGAGCTCGAGTCCTTGTTAAAAGTTGCCAGGAGACCATCCATCATCCGTATGCTCACTGAGCAATGCCAGCGACTGCGCGATCAGATCCAAGAGGTACTTCGATGGCATTATTCTTGCTGAACATGTCCCAATAAAGGAAGAGAGAGTTGCCAACCCTGCCTTCTTTGGCTCCTGTGCTTGGCACCCGGGATTTCCTGATTGGTGTTTTCCTTTGCGTCGGCTGCCTGTGTAGGCGGAAAAGTTGGAGAAGTGCGCTGCACAAGGCAGGCCCACAGCAGAGGTGCGTTAAGTTTGCTTGCCGAAGGGCACTTAAGCGATCGTGAGGCTCAGTTTGTCCTCCCTTCATAACGCAGCATTCGTTACCCAAATGTGGCGAACATACTATCCTTTGTAAGTTTCTCTACTACTTCTTTGTGTTCAGGTCTTCAATACAATTGATCGGTTTGCTTGGGATCAAACGCCGGCGCTTGTAAAGTGGGCTTGAGTCTCAGGTTGCCTCACACCGAAGAAAAGGTTGTCACTGTAGCGTCGTGTCGCGAAGGTACCACGACGGTGAACGTTTTATATACACTATTTTTAGTTATATATGTGGCCTTATTTAGGGTTTACGTACATCTGGACGGCCTGAACGACCTTTCGCCAGACGCGACGTGTGTGCGCTTCGAGGAAAATAGCGCAGAGCTGGTGGTACGTCCATCCTTCTCCAATTCCCTGTAGGCAAGGCAGCATACAGTGACTGCAACTGGCAGTTTACAAACAGCACATGTCGTTATTCGACGTGCATTTGCTATCTTCAGGTACGGAACCTGCGGCAGAAGAATTATACTCTCAAATTCAGTCCTCTTTATGCTCCAGTCGACACAGAGAGTATGGCTTTGCATTTGCTACGACGTTGGCAATTTCATTCCACTCGACTAGTAAATTAGGCGATGTGACAAAAAAGCTTGGGAGGCTATTTTAACCAGTCGAGCTTGTTACGTACACCCGTCCGTTCTGATTATTCCGCTTGTCTCAGAGTCCAACTTCACTGTTAAACGCGACACTGTAACCATCCGCCTGGCAAAAGTACGCTACTATCCTACAGGCACCTGTGAATTGATTAGGGCACGGAGCCGCTTAGCGATGCTGCTTGTTGTTGCCGACCGTTATGCGACTCGTGTTTTGCGTTTTGTCAACTCACGCTTTGCGTGCGTGCATTTGGTATGGTAAATGCAGCTGCGCCCAGGAGAACACTGGGACTCCGTAGCAAAGGCAACTCAAGCAAACGCAATGCCAAAGCTTGATCCGTCTGCCGATCCATCGGAGTCCATAATGAGCATGATGAAGAGCCTATACAACGAAGTAAGCCACTCTGTAGCCTCTCTGTAGAACGGGATCATCTGTTGCTCGATGTCAGCCCCCCTGAGTTGCCGAATATGTTCGCATCCTTCTGTAACCTCAGGGTGACAGCGAAATGAAAAGGACAATCGCAAAGGCCTGGGTAAGCAGCTGCGGAAGGGATCAAGAGTCCCTCTGTAAGCACCATCAAGTCTCATCGGAAGGCTGAGTAGTTGTTTCCTATGCTTATCATGCCGATGAAGGACTACTACATGAGTGCGAGGAAGTCGTATGTTGTCGCCCCGGGTTGCGTCCTTCTGTACAGACGGAGTCTCAAGAGCGGAAGATGAAAGGCATCCAACCTGGAGACGGCATATTCTGATCCACTCGTATTCGTCTACTGTACACCTAACTAAAGGCGGAATCGCTTCCGCACGCTATCGCTATTTTCTCCGAGACATTGCCATTTTAAGCCTCTGCCAACGTCTAATGCTCCGCTGTCACTTTAAAGTGCTATATAATGACTGCAGTAGCGGTTGCCAACTATGCTATTATAGAAGTGTAGGAACACTAAAACTCGAAACATCAAAAACAGAAAATAACCCCAATCGGTCCTCTGAAAACAACCCGACATGTGGGGCGTCTCCAATGGGACGCCACTGCTGCAGTCGGTATTTTACTTAAGAGGGATGAAACGGGAAGAGTGTGTGGCACCAATGCCGGGCTTGCCGTGGCGAACTGGCTTGTAGCTGATGGAGAACTCCCCAAGGTAGTACCCCACCATCTCTGGCTGCAAACGCGAAAAAATAATGGGCAACGGCACATCATCTTCCTCACGGATAATTTATGCCTTCGCGAGAGCAGCCAAGAGATGCCCACTAGCGCAAACATTACTAGGCGTCCCCTCATGAGGGAGAGATGATGGGAACCAACCAGAAAACTCTAGTAATGCTGAAGGCGACACTAACTTACCTTGATCTCAACATTGATAAATTGCTTTCCGTTATAGACGCCAACCACTGAACCGATCATTTCCGGCACAACAACGACATTGCGAAGGTGTGTATTCACTGGAGGGGGCTTCTCGCCATAGGGCAAGTCCTTCTTGGCGTTCCTCAGTTTGTTCATAAGCGGCAATGCCTTCTGGTTAATGCCGCGGCTGAACTTACGACGCTGGCGGGCGCGGAAGAGATCCACAAGCTTGTCAAGTGGGAGTGTGACCAGTTTTTCCAAGTCTACGCCACGGTAAGTGAACGTGCGGAACGTTCTCTTGCGGGGGGCCGTCGCATCTTCCGCCTGAACACCAAATACCGCAGTCTTTACCCGTCCCCCTTGTTCCACGCAGTCGTCCGGAGATCCTTAACAAGCATCAGACGGTGGAACCCTACCACTGAAGCCACAGGGACATCCCACGCGTATTGAATTCCAAGCCAAGGCAGAGCTACCATGTAATACCGAGAAATATATATAAGATCGATGCCGAAACTGGGAACCAAACAAAGTCCGCTTCATGCCTTCAACGCACAGTGCAGCGCCGTGGTTGAGGGACAATAACCGATGTCAGCTAAAGTTCATCGAACAAGAAAGACTATGTCAATTCAGTAACAACGCAAAATAATCTAATTCCCTCACAACGGAGAGGAAAAGGTGAAGGGAAGGCAACGTTCGCTGTGCGACACAGTACGAAGCGACTACAGAGGCCAGAAGACGCGGAAGGCATTATGCCAGCAGCGAGAAGCAATCCAGCCCACCATTTTGGTCTGATTTAGAATTAAATCGATGCGAAGGGTAAAGAAGAGAAGAAAACCTTAAATTCCGAGCAACAAGCGTCCTCAAGAGTTGCCTTGCTGGCCCCGCAAGCCCCAACATGGAAGCGATCTGTCTGCAGAGGCAGCCCCAAGCCCCACGTCTAGTGCAGAGGCACTACATGCGTCTGAGGTGTGCACTCCAGTAGCCTAAGGACAGGAGCGGAAGTAACTACTATAAGGTATTTAAGGAGTTAGGACCTTATTACTCAAGAATGAAATTAAAACTACTAAATATCCCAGGGATTAGGGAATCGTTAGGCAGACACAACTTAATGAGCTAGCCGACAGCGCAAGCCTCAGCGACACAGTACCTAGACCCTGAGAAGGCTCCCTGGTTTGATGTTTAGAGACTTAATAAATGGAAAAGGAATTAATATTATTAAATATATGTATGTTATAAGCACTACTTTATAGAGAAGCCACCTAATAAGGGGACTATAAGGGGGCCGGGCCAGCCGCTGAACCTACAGCACTCTGCTTAGGCACCAAGGTTTTGGGGATTGCTGGGCGCCGCGCTTAGGCGAGCGCAAGCCCTCGCCTAAGCATCTTGAAGGCGAGGTGTCGGATCGGCCTCCTGGAAGACCAGACCTATGTATCCAGGGGGACTGGCCTGTATGTAACCGGAGACGGGATCATGTTTTGGGAATTTAATTGTGAATAGAAGGAACCAGAGTGAACAGACTATGAAACTTAGCCACCTGTAGTCGTGATATGTTATAGGTACGCACAGCGTGGGGACCGCTGCGCACTACACCACCAAATCGCCCAGGCCACAAACGTTGACCTTACGTGCAACGCACATTTACAAATATTTGATTGCAGATATCAAGAAGGCACTCGAAACCTCCATTTTCACTTCTTCAGACCGAGGTAGCGGCACTGTTTTCCCATAACACAGGACGTGGGCCAGGTATGGTAGAGTGCTTTGCCTAAAGTACAACGTTACTCCAGGATCTTATCAATTGAATATTGTAAGTTGCAGTAGAGCAATAACAGTTGATGTGGGTCTTCTCTAAAAGCAGCTGAACCCATTGTATAGTCTCCAGGCATGCTTAATTGTGGGGCTCAAGCGCCTGGAGTTGCGGTAGTCAGGGCATAGCACAGTCTGTGCGACGAAGCGCAGATTAACCCTTACTGAGCCCGAGTAGACAAGCTTTGAACAGTTAAAACTCATCAGACCTCGTTTACAGTGTCTGCATATGCAGACATAAAGATCGGTTTGTGCTTGCGAATGGGACTGCCCTACTGGCACCTTGATTTGCATGAAGGTGTGTTGTCAGTCATGACATTTCCAGACATTTGAGTCTCTGAGCTCAAGAAACATGGAGGCTGTTCGCTCTTTTTAAGCAGCATTCATCTTCTAATGGCTGTGGTTCCATTTCAGATTACTATAGTCCACAGAAAATCCAGGCGCTGGCTACATATATGCGCCGAGTGCTTCAACAGGGCGTCCCGCTGCACAGCCTGGAGTAGTAACTTTGCTTAAATAAGTACGTGCATCTGCAGGAGTTCCTTTCGAAGTTTCCCAAAACAATTGTAGAATCCCGTCGGTTTACTATTGTTGAGAAAGAGATATTGATCCGGAATTTTCATCCGTAGAAGATGCGACCAACCCTTTCAACTTTCATGAGGAATGTCTTATCCAGTGCCGTACACCCACATATGGCGGAGGGTCTGTTGCGTTGGCACTGGAGGAGATTCCTGCCTCTTCAAACCTTTATTTTCGTCTACAATCATCGACAGAAAAACATATGTTGTTGTTGACATCTTCGTTATGAGCAGGGAAGGCACGGTAATGGCAATCGTGACTCTATCTAAGCAAGGATATTGCTTTTCCGGAGCATATCCAGACTGGTGAAACTTTCTAGCGCGCGCTACGATGTAGGTTCATCCCTACGTAGGCACGGGAATAGGTTACAGCAGATATGAGAAAGTTTAGCTGAGGGAAGCTATCGGTAGTGCGAGATGGTGCATTTCGAGATGTACGAGCCCTTGGTGAACCCAAGTCGGACGCTTGACCACACATTTTCCTATCAGTCCGACACTACAAGACTACCTCCACAAGAAAGGCAATTGGCAGCTGGCAGGGGCGAGTGAACTAGAGGATAAATGAATAGTTCTCGCAAAGATGATGGAATGGTATTGCAACCAACCGAGGAGAAACGCACAAACTACTAGCCTAGCAGACAAGAAAGGAGGAGGGATTGGAAGGACTACAATTTTCTTTCTGCACGGGTTGTGGATGAGATTTCCATACCCACCTTAAGAGGAAGGAAAAGGGGAAACAATCGGCAGCTGGGGACTCGGCACCCGGCAGGCGGAGAAATTGTATCGAGGGGCTGGCCTGCGTCTTCTGCAACAAACAAGGTCAAGTAGCTGATGGCTGCCGGCGTATGAAAAACAAGAGGGAGACGTTGAAGCAAAACGTCGAGGCTGGCTGCCATATTAACAACCCGGGTTGCCAGGGAAACGACGGAGCCCCAAGCAAAGTGCCACTCAGCGGTGGGGGCACAAGAGGCGACAGCGCCTCCTAAAGATCCTCCTTCGGTTGAGTCTATGATAATGCTAATTCACTGTAATGGACAGGAGTGGGCAGCGCCACTGGAAACAGTTTACGAAGTGTATCTGATGCCCGAAGCTATGGCGGAGAGATGCAGTCCACTTCACCCAATAGTGTAATTTGTGGGTCCACCGTGCGCGGTCGGGTAACGGGGAACTCAACTTCTCAACAATTTGGGCACAATGCGAAGCGAATCCAGTAGTGATTCACAATACCATTATACGGAACTTTTGAGATGGATAGGTTCACGTCGAGTCGATCCTAAGTTTACACTAGGCGACACGATTGGGTGGAGCAGATACGCACACCTGATGACAACATCGAGATGAAGGCGGAGGGAAGTGAGGAGAGAGTGCACATCTTAACACCTGCAACGACATGTTCATCTTTTGTGGCTAGAAGAGTGGAAGCACTGTCCCAAGGAGGAAGCAGCAAATAATCTCTTGGGCCCTGCAGAGGCGGTGCGGGAAAGGGTGGAGATATGTAACGTGGGCTTCTGAGGATCGTTTTGGAGTATATCTATGGGCCATCCTTGCTTCGTCGGCAACTACTGGAAGCAACAGTCTAAAGAGCACGGCTTAAGACTTTTGGTAATCTTCTCCTTTTGACCAACTATGAAGCCCCAAAATTCCGCATGCTCCGATGTGCTACCTATTCCTTTTGCAGTGATCAAACTCCACTGCTTTGCCTGCAGCTACCTTCTGTCAATCCCGTATGCATCAGCTCCTCCGAAGTGAACCGCCTGGGACATCGGAAGGGGCATGGCAGCAGCCGAAGTGAACGGTGTCACACACCAGAGTACAGCGGCGCATCGCAAAATGTATTATGGCGGCACTCAATATGTTTTGCAGAGCCGCAACAGGCACTATGAGCTGTCCTTGCAACACCAGGTCTTGAGCTGCTTCGGCAATTAACTCGTTGTCTAGGCGCTGGAGGCGGTGCTGCACATAGATGCAGTGAACGAAGAAGCAGAAGCAACCAAAGCCCGCCTGAGCTGCGTACAACGGAAGGAACTTACACCTCAACACTGCTGTTTCAGGGCTGATGGCGGATACGGGGGTGTGTGCTGCTTGCTCAAAGGAAGCAGCAGATGTAGCATGGCCTTGGAGTTGTTGGCATTTCTGTTTGCAGTGAACGCATGAACTGTACAGCTGTCCTAGTGGACCTACTAAACCAACTAGCTGCTCAGGACTAATGGAGACCTGGATATGATATGAGTTGCATGTAAGTAGCTCTCATCAAGTGTTTTGGCATCAAGCTCACAACACTCTGGACAACATACAGAAGTTGTGTTGCTCTGTTGGCTGTGTTACACACTCCGTTGGCCTTCCACACCCAGCCTGCACGCATGAATATATGCAAAGGAACTTTACGTTTAAGCAATCACTTGGCCTTAGGAGATATCTCTTGCGCAAGCCCAAACACGTTGACAATTGCCTCAATGACTATCGTTACATTCCCACGTGGCCACATGTAATTGACGAGCCGAGGCTGACATGGAACTACTAAAGGCTAGGAGGATGTGTCAATAAATTCTAAGTGACACTCCATGGAAGATTCACATTGAAAGATTCAAATTTTGTGCCTCTAGGTGAAGGGGTCGTCATGCTACTGAGTGCATAGGTGTAGCATCTTGCAATATAGGGATGTTAGTTCCCAAATCCCGCGACACCTCGATTGGGTCAGGTTACCACATGAAAATATTACAATCACATTAATGCAACTTAGCGTAAACTAGATCAAGCCTATGCGGAGTTTCAGGGCTAGTTGGCATTTCGCAGTGCCATCTCAGCCACAAGAGTCTGGCGTCCTCGCTCGCCAAGGGGGCTGCGGACTAACTTGAGGGCAGATTTCTTGGTATGGCTTGGCTTGTATTTTCAGATTCTAGTATTTTGTCCTTAGTAGGTAAATAATGAGCAGTGTCGCTCTACGATAAGGCTAGGACAGCATTCATCGAAAGCGTGGTAGTGCTGCTTGCCTCTTTTTCATCTTTCGGGGCCCCGCTCCATCTTCGTTTGGATGCATATAATCTATCCTCTCTCCAACCATTGACACGCTTCTTTAATAGCTTATTGCATGGACTTTCTCCCACCTGGATGCCTCCTGGATTCATACAACTTGGAGGACGTGAAGCACCCATCTGAGGGCCCCCCTCCCCCCGCTCCTTCTCGGCATTAGAGCATCAGGCAGTCCATCGAATTATGGCTCAGATTTTGTCCAAAAAAGCTTAAAGGGTACCTTTTTGGCCCGTACAGCTGCACTTGCTATAGTCTTTACTCTGGGTGGCCGCGATTGCTCGCTACCTGCTTACGGCCCCAGGCGCTTCAGTTTTCCCCACACTGTAGGGTCGATTGGAGAGGTCATGAGACCGCATTTATTGACCTTCCCATCCGCATAGCTATGGGGACACTTCAGAGACAGCTTGGCACTGGGCCGGCGGTCCGACATGCGGTGCTGGCCCTGCTCATGCTATGCCTGCTTTTCTTTCCGTATGGTTCCAGTACCATTGTTGCATCTGGAGGCGAGAGTTTCCCAGACGTAGCAGCACCGAGTGGTGCCGTCGATGCTTCTGTTCCTGGGACTCCTGCGCAGAATGGTTTGCTTCTGAATGAGGGAGCGGGCGCCAAGGAGCAAACATCAAATGCTGGTACCAGTGTCGTTTCGGCTGAACAGCACGACAAGGGGAATCTGGAACTTCTTAAAGCCCTGATACTTGAGGCGGATGCGACTGAGTCCGAGAAGCTGTCCGACAGTCAATATTTGTAAGCAGTTGAGGAGGGTAGCAAGTCTGCCACCTGTTTGTAACGAACTACAGGCAGTCTAACTACATGGCGAGTGGTTCCTGTTGCTCGATGTATGGCACTTTGAACTCATGAGGCTTTGGCAGTATTTTCAGACGCTCTGGTGACCCTGTTCAAAACTTCCGCTGGGCCGACATCCGCATTGTCTAGTGCGCAGCGACATTGTGCTGCTGTTTCATAAAGGCACGAACTGAAAGCTAGTGCCCTACTCCTAACTGTCTTCATACAGTGTATCAGTCATATATATATATATATATATTAT